TCACGGCCACTGTTTAGGTACACGCCCCTGGTTGTGTGTAAGATCCAAGCACCAGCAAATTGTCGGCGTTTTATATTGATATGTAAATACAGACTGGGATGGGAGATGTTTGTGCAGACCATGTTGCAGTGCGCTGTACTCAAGGATTGTTCCACAGTGCATCCCATGACAATCGAAAGGAGTCAGCACAGGTGGCGAAAGCGAATCAGGGGGCCACATGCGAAAATGCCTCCATTATATCTCCGCCCCCGGGGTTAAAACGAAGTGACAAGTGTTGAGTGAGTGACGCTGGGAGGTAAGCTACGTCCCACATCCAAAAAATCTGACGTAACCATTGCCGCGTTGCGTGGAAAGAAGCGAGGGATACATCGCGTTTGCCTCCAAAACTTCCCAGACGATTCGTCGTAACTGGAACTAATTTGACCCAGGGTGGACAGATCCCAGGGCAATGGGATTGATCTCACTTGCTATTGGCTGCACTCGCACGATGTGTGTTCGTCATGCTCGGAACAGTACATTTTGCTTGGACCCGCCAGCTGGATTCGCCGCATTATGGTGCGGTCCTGCTTATCTTGTTTGCAGTCGCAGCTGTTCATAAAATTGAGTTTAACAGTCAGAATGTAATCCGGCAGAACTGCAACAAGCATGAATAACACCTGTTAGCATAAATGAAAGCATTAAGATATAGAAGCATGAAAGCGTGAATATATAACACCTGTTTGTAGGAATGTTAGCATGAAAGCATGAACAGCAACTGTCATATCCTTGCCCAGATATCGGCACACATCTGTGTCGATCACACTCCAGCTGACAGGCGTAGGCACGTGAAAATAGGACCGAGAACATGCGATGTTATTTACGGTATGCAAGACATTCTGGCTGTTTGCTTGCACTGTACTGTCTAGCCTGTGCGACACATAACTTTCTGACCTTTGAAAAGGAACATCTCGCCAATTTGCAAAAAATCGTTTTTCTTTCTTGTTTAACACGCGCTGGGGTGGGGGTCAATTTGAGCCCCGAAAGTTTTTTCCGGAATTATTTCCAAACAGCGCGGCGTAGCCCGGCCAAATCTTGTCCTGGTATAAACAATTAAACAGCGAATCGTTAATGTCAAAAATTTGGATGCACTTTGCAAGTTCGCTGACCTACGATAGGTCAAGTCAAGCCATGGGCTAAGCAAAGACAATTTCTAGGGAGTCTTTCAATCTAAGGCATTAACGGAGTGTTGGGCGAAGACATATACCTTTGAGATAGCTTCTTAAACAACCCAGCAATTGACTTAATAATTTTCATTGACCTGGGGTCAAGACTTGATTTATTCCTTTAGAGCGTGCTGTATGGAGTGGTTTCTGGTGCTCATTTTTAATTTGTTGATAATAGGAACCGCAATCATATATTTTCCACGGACTTCTTAAAGGTCAGAAAAGGTCACTAACTTGAAATGAGCCTGGTCAATGTTTTGCTTTTTAAGGGCATACTACCTACCACAGTCCTTGACACTTATACAAATGCAAAATTCAAACCAATCCTGTACGGTTTTGGTCACTATGATCTTCGAAAGGTCAAACAAGGTCACTGACTTTAAATTGGCACCGGTAAACCTTGGATTGGAGCAGATATCTAGATTCATGGCGGTTCCATGACAAGGTCTGGGGCATGGCCTTGTTTGACCTTGTCCGATCCAAAGGTCATGACCCAGGAACCTAAAATGCTGAAGCAGGCGAGTTCACGTATAGGCCAACACGCCCTGTGAATTTGGTGTCTTTGGCTCTCTTACTGTCTGAGATCTCAGGTCAAAGACCCCCTCCTACCCGAGTGAAGGTTATTTAACCAGCCACCCGGCGCACATGAGCTCGAGATAAGGAAGATGTAAGATAGGTATTCGTTATAATCGTACTCGACGTAGGTAAACACAGTTAAGCAGAACACACCAGAAATAAAAACATCTACTCAAGATTGGGCAGTGTTGGGGAAAACCACACCGCCTGCTGTTCTTCACGCATGATTTAAAAAAGGAACAGCGTCTTTGTCGACAGCGTACAAGGCGGTAGCGCAGAATGGCGCCTGTTGGCCGCGTGTCAGCAGCAAGCTGAGACCACGTCTCGTGGCGGATTATCACGCGTGCTGAAGCCGGCGAGACCGGTGACGGCGGCCGACCGGGCCGGTCCGGTGCCGCTGACCTGGGCCCGCGTCGGTGCCGCCTCACGCTGACCCCGACGGCACGGCCGCAGACGCCGCAAAACGGGAAACGCCGGTTCCGGGCGAGGTGTCATTAGCCGCGCCTTTGGTGTGCAGTCGACGCCGCGGGCCGCGGAGGAGCAGTGCACCGTGTCGTTGGCGGAACTGAGCGAGACTGGGTCATCGGATGGCGGCGGGCGGTCCCGCGCCAATCACGGTCAGTGCGCTGGGCAACAGGCAGATCTGAGAGCACGGAGAGAGAGAGAGAGAGAGAGAGAGAGAGAGAGAGAGAGAGAGAGAGAGAGAGATGAGATAGAGAGAGAGAGAGAGAGAGAGAGAGAGAGAGAGAGAGAGAGAGAGAGAGAGAGAGAGAGAGAGAGAGAGAGAGATGAGAGGAGAGAGAGAGAGAGAGAAAGAGAGGAGAGAGAGAGAAGAGAGAGGGAGGAGAGAGGGTGTGTTGTGTGGTGTGTGTGTGTGTGTGTGTGTGTGTGTGTGTGTGTGGTGTGGTGGTGCGTGTGTGCGTGCGTGTGGTGGTGCGTGCGTGCGTGCGTGCGTGCGTGCGTGCGTGCGTGCGTGCGTGCGTGCGTGTGTGTGTGCGTGGTGTGTGCGTGCGTGGTGTGTGTGTGTGGTGTGTGTGTGTGTGTGTGTGTCCATTCGGCGACTGATTGTTTCCCCATCAACATATTTCCGAATACTTCATAACATCCTGAGAAGTACGCAAATAGCGCGATTTATGTGGTTCAGCAACCAACAGGATTGAGGATATGTGCCAGAGAGCTATTTGAAGTTAAGACTACATATTTTCAACATTAAGACAATTCGCATTAAACCTGTACTTGGCCAAACAGAAGGCTGGATGTCTCAGGTAGCAAACAAGCACCACCAAGACGCTGTTTTTACATTTCCCTGAAGTAGCGACGCATTCTGGCCAAGGCCCTAAAACGTACATGTGTGCCGTTGTGCACACGTACTATAGTCGCCTTAACACGGCCTGAACAAGATATCTTCATAAAAAATTTTCTGACTAGCCGTCACAGCTCCTTCAACATTACAAGTTTTCAGGACTCCTAAATGGGCTGTGGAGGGCATGTAAAAACTCTAGATGAGCTGAGGCCAAAAATATTGTAAAGAGCGCAGCCAAACGTCTTGTACTTACACTAAGCGATGTCTTATAACGTCAAAACTGGAACGATTGACTCCACTCTGAGGTTTATGTCCGTTCAGGGGTCGAAAAAGCTCGTCTGTCTTGCCCGCAGGAGCGCCAGAATAGTCGCAGTACTTGGTGCAAAAAATGTTGTCAGAGCGATGTCGCTAGCCATATGGGGGACTTTGTCTTCTTTGCGTTGCGCTTTGCGTAGCAGCGAGAAAAGGCACATAGTTAGCTTTAGTAAAAGAATAAATCACCTGCATAGTTCAAAAACAGGACATTGCAGTGTAGCTAAAATAATCATGCTTTTCTGGGCTAAACGGTTCTATGTGTAGCGAAACGCTTCCCGCAGATAGCAATTGCCCACGCACCTTGTGACGAATTCGTGCGAAAGCGAATCAGGTGCTGATCGCTACAGCGCCTGGTTGTGGTCAAGTCTTTGCTGTAGAAATAATGGCTGGTATATATTTTTTGCAGCATAAGCGTTGTCGTGTAGTACTTAAGTTGTGTATGAGTTTTTGCAGTAAAAGTGATGTCACCTGTAAGCAAAGACTGCAACAGCCTGCTAAAAAACTGATGACGGTGCTAAAATTTGCAGTATAAGTTCTGAGAATGCGTCTTGCAATATTGTATCAGTTTTGCAGTAGACGTAATGTCGCGTATGACTGATGTAGCACTCTTGTCCGCATGAGTTTTTGCCGTGGCACTAATATACAGTTTTCTCGTAGCTTAGTTAATCGCTATGGTGCGCAGTTGTTCCTTGTAAGTACAACGGATGTGGTCAAATAAATTTGCTCATAGAGCTCCACCAGATACCACGTACTGATTTCAGTTTAAACGTGCTACAGAACAAGGTCGTGGCCTGGTTTGCACAAATGTACCGTGATGAAATCATATCGCATTTTGGAGTCTTCTACGAAAAAAGTTCGGGCTCGTCATTCAAGTGTTACCGTAATAAAACGATCAGAGTCGGGCGTCTTTTTCCTCTTTTGCTAGAGTGCGCACCAAGCCGCTAAGCGGTGATCGACTCATCAGCCGACTGGGCTGCATCGGACAGCAGAGTGGCGGGCGGTGCATAGTCCGCGTCTGATGACTGAAGCACACCGCGACGTCGTGAATATTGGGCTAGATGTTCTGTGGTGCAGATGGTTCCCAAACGTAATACTTTCCCCGAGTCATTGAACATTACCAAAATCTGCATTCCGGACGGTCCTGAATGCCCGCTTGGATTGGACTTATTGGTTTGATTTGACCCGCGCCAACTCAAACTATGACCCAGAGTTCAGACCCCACTTGGCTTGATTCTGACTCAGTCAGGATCAGCCGCGTCAATGTGCTTGAACCAGCATTTGATTTGAATCGCTATTTGAAGCGAGCCTGATTCCAATGTTGGTTTGGGTCCGAAGTATTTTAAATCGGAATCCAAACGATTCACAACGGAACGCTGAATGCATCACAGTTCTGACGACAACCCACCGTAGTATCATTAAACTCTAGACAAGAGGGGTGCCGCTTCAGCCCCTTTCGGTGTCCATGCCTGGTTGGACGAGGCGAGCTTGATGTGAACACATTAATACCGTATTTAGAATAGCAGGAGGCACGAACACACGACCTGCAGCATACCAGGAGGCGCCAATAAAGACTTGATACACAAAATATATTGAAATTACTCCTCTGAATCTAGCATTTGTGATGACTCAAGCAGGTAGAACATGGGGGACATTGGGGGTGTAATCTTGCTAAAGGGTTCATGTTTACTGTACTCACCACCCGCCCCGCCGTTCTAAGTGCAAAAAACAACACCCTGTGTATGAGAACAGGAAATGCAGAATTTTCGCAACAGTGATCTTGCGGCGAAGGTGAAGAGAGACGGTCATAGCGCGTGTTTGCGTAGAGCAGTAGTTGCCGCCTGATCCCGCACCGCCCACGGCCCGCTCATGGGGACAGGAGCTGTTGGTAGAATGCGATTGATACATGACATACATGCTGTTAACAATAGCATCCCGGCACAAGCGCTGTAACACCAGCCTACATGAATAAGCACAGCCCATACCGCGAGGCCGAACCGAATGTTTGAGTGTTGGAATGTTTGACACCTTGCCTCGACCGAGTTTAGCCTCAAAAGTTGACCGCGACGGAACCTGCCGCGTTCACTGGAAAACACCAGCCCAATCAGGCAACTACGGACTTTCACCACAGAACAATCAATCTTCGGTGCGATCTGAACACCGTCGCCATGGCGATGCATAGTCTGACGACACACGAAGGCTCCTTCCCATTGGACGCACGCTTGCTGGGTGAGCTCAAGATCCATCGGTTCCGGTATCTTGTGTCCCGATCCAGCCGCAGACTCTATACCTCAACCGGTTCCAGTATCTTGTGTCCCGATCCAGCCGTAGCCTCTATACCCCCACCGGTTCCGGTATCTTGTGTCCCGATCCAGCCGCAGCCTCCATGCCGGTTGTGGCGAGATTGTAGTACGGCCTATGAAGAAAACCTGCCCTTATATCCGTACAAAATCCGTATTTGATGGACCGCAACTTTGATCAAGCTTCTCTCACAAGTCGCGGCAGGCTCTGTAGTCAACAAGTTCACCACTTCGATGCGACCGAACCAAAACCTCACAATTACCCCCTCCCTTTCTCCAAAACCATGAGTCCGACAGTACAAAGGGTACTCTACAGCAATATCAGGCGTACACGTACAAGCTATCCAGTCGAGAGCTGTGGTTGCTACTGGCATTGGAGCCGGTTTCCAACGCTTCGATACTAGCTGGCTTTTCATCCGGTAAAAAACTCGCCGTTTTACAACTCCAGGCACGGCTATAACACCGGAGGTAACGATTCGCTACCAGCTGCGGACATGGTGGCACCGTAATATTGTCAGCTCCTTGGTGCAGAGATTTGAGAGCATGTCTTGCAGGGGTGAGTTCAGGATTCAAATCCATGCCAAGCACCACTTGCTGCAAAACCGTTCATACTCGCATCCGCGTAAGGCAACTCCGGTTCAACCAACATGTTTTGACAGATTTTGAAGTGTCTCACGATGCCGTGGCATTCTCATGTAGCCTCCCTCGCCTGGCCAGCTGCCAACTGACAAAAAAAGTTTAGCTGGGAGCGAATCGGTACTGGTGGTGCTGTAGCGGTACCGACGTTCTTGGCACGTGCCCCACATTGATCATTGTCTGGCGCCCACCTCTTGAGCTGCTGGGGTGGTAGACAACTACACCTGGCTCTGAAAATAAACACTGTCACACGTCCATGATTCACCGAGATAGGTCTCGCCTCTCCTCCAAAGACGGACCGCAGGCGCCATTACAAAATTTGGCAAGAAAGACAGCGATACCAGGACACACTGCATAGCAAAGGTAGCATAGAGCACATCAGATAGGGAATCCAGCGGCATTCCAGGCCAGCAGCGTGATATCCGTCCGCCGTCAGCGGCTTCCTGCCCCCACTCTTGACCAGCGGTGGCTCAGCCACCGGCCGTCCGCCCACCTCAGCACTTCTTCCAGACCAGCAGCTTGTTGTTGGCCGGCATGTCCACCTCGGCGTGCAGCTTCAGACCGTGAGGCGCCGCCGCCTGGCGCAGGTCCCGGATGTCGCGCACGCCCCACTCCTTGTTCTCGGCACGCAGCCGTGCGTCAAACACCACGTTGCTCTGCGGGCTGAGCGTGCCGTCCTTGGCGTACGGGCCGTAGGTGACGAGCACGCCGCCGGCGGCCAGCGAGCGGCCGGCGCCGGCCAGCAGCCCCAGCGCGCACGACCACGGCGCGATGTGCATCATGTTGATGTTGACGAGTAGCCGGAGGGAGCCGGCGGCCAGCTGCGGCAGTTGCGCGGCCCAGTCGCCGGCCACATCCAGCCGGCGCGCCGCCAGCACGTTGGTCAGCCCGGCCGTGTGCTGGTCGATGCTGAGCAGCAGGCGCGGCTCCAGCTCGGTCGGCTGCCAGCGCAGCGCCGGATAGTGGCGCGCCAGCAGTGCCACGTGCTGGCCCGTGCCCGAACTCACTTCCAGCGCGTGGCCACTTGCTGTGCGCGGCACCTGCTGAGACAGGGCCTCCAGGATGGGCGCTGCGTTGCGCTGGGCGGCTGCATAGTTCATCATTCTGGTGTCAGGAATCTGGAAGTGCAAGCAGACTGTGGTTACTGCTGTGGTAGAGCACTGTGTTTGGATGCTTTATTTCAGATGTTTTGATGTTATACACCAGGTCTAATCACTAAGCCTGACACAGATGTAACCAGCTGCATTAAATCACTAACAACTTACAAACATGTAGGTGATGTTACATTGCATGTGATTAGAGTACACAACATTAAGAATGCATACCAACAGGTCTGACCTGTGCATTGGAATAAGAGCACTTCAGCCCAGACAGCCCAAAAGGCATGGACACAATGATGTAGTGGCCTCATGCTAGCTCATATCACACTGTGTAGATGTGGCTCACCATAGTCTTGGTCAGGCATATCATTTCCAATTAGCACAAATGAAGAACATGTAACAAATCGTGTTGTGGGCATAGGCCATATATTGTAATTTTGGAGGAAAATTATGCCAGCCTATATATCAAGCATGCAAATGTCTTCAAAATGAATGGATCAAAATTAAGTACACCTTTGACAAATAACACTGTTGCTGTTAACTGCATAATGCAGTAAGTTGTGGTAACTGGCTGCAAAGATATAGGCTTTCGAAATGCCAAGTTCCAAGTTTAACTTGATGACGGCCAAGTTCAACAAGCCAGATCATCAAAATGAAAATATCTATCACCACGGAACTGCCGCATAACCACTAAAAAGTCTACCGATCTGCTCAGCGCCCATTCGTACAAAACATCGCGAACAAACGTGGCCTTGATCCTTACGTAGTTTGAGCGCCGAAGGCCACACACAATGTAACGTCTGCACACCGCCCGCAGCCAGCAATGCTCCCGCAACACTATCACGACGAGCACAACACAACCCAACCACTCAACATCACCCGCCCACAATCATCTGCCAGATGTATCGACTGCGCAGTTCTCGTCTACTTCGGTGCTGAAACCTGAATGAACGCAACCGCTAAATCGAAACAAGTGCAGCATATGCGTGATCACGATGGGAATCCCATGAGCGCTAGAATTCCAGGACTGGGAAGAAATTAATGTTCTGTGGAACAAGCTTTAGCCTAAAACCCACTTTGAATCTAAATCAGTAGCAAACATGAACTACTCAGGGCCACCTTGGATAATGCAGTACGGCATTAGTGTGAATCTGAGTTGGCAGCGTGGACAGGCACGCTGACCGGGCTGAGTTGACCGAGACAGCCTGCTGCCAGCATGCGCCGCGAGAAGCACTGAACGGTGGCGGGTTGGAGCGCAAAGTACTTGTTTTGGAAAGAGCAAGGTACTGCTGTCAGCATTTTCACGTGGTGCTTTCATCACCAACAGGTCGCGGCAACTCTGCTGTCGTTGGTGGCAGTCCCCATCACAGCGACCTTTCACACCAAAGATGTGCTTCGACCTCACAGCGACCAAGCCGCTGCCGGCGTGACCTATGACCACAAGGACCGCCATTACGCCGAGAACAAGGGCGGTTCCGACTGCGAGCCAATCACGAGCGACCCGGGTCTGGGCGCCGAGCTGGCCGACGGCGGCGGGGCCGAGCCCTGCCGCCTGCTCGACGACAGCCCCGGCGCGCGCCGCCTCCGGCCGCGCCGGCAGAACCCGCTAGAGGCGCTGCCGGCGGCGGCGAACGTCAGCCAGCTGGCTCCGCTGCCGGTCGGCGGCCGCATCCGCGACCCGTTCCTCCCCAGCGACACGGCGGTGCTGGGCTCCCACGCCAGGAAGGTCAACGTCACCCGGCTGCTGACGGAGCAGCGGCTGCTGGAGGCGCAGCTCCTGGCTGAGGGCCGGGTGCCACAGCCCAACTCAGCCGCCTACAAGCAGATGTTGAACGCGCTCTCCACGGACGAGGCTCAGGAGCTCGGCCGCGCCGGCCTCCGGCAATCACTCACGCTGTGCGGCTGCAGCGGCTTCCGGGACAACAGCACCGGTAACGTGACACAGAGAGCGGACAGGAGCCCGCATCCAGCGGTCCACCTGCCGTACTGCGAGCCGGAGCCTGTCCCACACTGCCAGAGGAGCAGGCCGTTCCGCACCAGCGACGGAGAGTGTAACAACCTGATGGTGAGCGGTTCGGGTAGAGGCGTCGGCACAGAATACGGTCTTACATGCGCCGTCGATCGTGTTCAGGAAGTTACAAACAGTAAGCCCGTTGTGAAGGTCTCTTCTGATGTGGTCTTGTGTCACGATTATGGAAATACGTAGCTATTAACGGTTTTCGTGGACAAGACTTCCTTTACAGAATCCACCCGTGATCCATTTCTGATCAGCTGGCCCAGCAATTTCCAGCACGCATGCATCTGTTGTCACTGCATTTAAGTTTTTAATTATGCCAAATTCAGAAAAATGTTGCGACCAAAGTTCACATTTCTAATTTATGGCTGCAAACGTACTGTGAATAGATATAGCTACGACTTAAAGCAATGCAAGCTGCCACATTGTATAGACATTCTCGATGTACATGTTCGGTATCTCGCGAACATTTTATCCATGCACGTACCTATTCCCGACATTTTACTGATTCCCGTATTACTCGCCCTTCCTGCTAGGGAGAGCGCAGGCAGCAGACAGGCAGGCAGGCAGGCAGCGCCGTAAAGCCAAATCAACTGAATGCGTTGTAAAACCTCAATGGCGATGATCTGTATCTAGTTATCCGAAACATCCATACCCTATCCAGCCTGTCACCCATTCCATCTGAGTAGCCGTGGGTTCACTTGGCACGTGAAGTCCTCTTGTAGCTGCGTAAGATTCAAGACATTGGAAAAATATCGGGAGTACCCATACTTCACATACGTATAATCATACCCATATTCTATTTGACAAGTTGGATGTGGTTATAGCTTGCTGACATGCATTCGCCTTCCAACAATGAGCCACATTGTACGTAGGCTTCATGGCACAGCGCATCTGCTTCCATCACAACCCCCTTTCGCGTGTTTCAGCACCCGCGCTGGGGTCGCGCTCTGACCGGACTCGGTCGCCTGCTGCCCAACACGTACGACGACGGCCTGTTCCGGCCGCGGCGCCGCGCCGCCGGCGGCACAGCCCTACCCTCGGCGCGCGCCGTCACCGCCGCCGTGCTGCGCGACAGGAGCGCCGAGTCGGACGCGGCGTCCGCTGCCCTGGTGGCGTTCGGCCAGTTCCTCGCGCACGACACCATACAAACGCCTGTGTACCGGATCAACGCGCACACGGGGCTGCAGTGCTGCGGCGCCGACGGCAGCGCGCCGCCCACTCCGCCGGTGCACCCGCAGTGCTTCCCGATCGAGGTGGCGGCCGACGACCCGTTCTACGGCACGCTGGGGCGCCGCTGCCTCAACCTGGTGCGCTCGCTGTTCGCTCCCGACCCCACCTGCGAGGCGCGACCCGCGGCGCAGCTCAACGCGCTCACAGCCTACCTGGACGGCTCGGCGGTGTATGGGGTCGACCACTACGCCGAGCGGCGGCTGCGTGAGGGCCGCGGCGGCCGACTGCGGGAGTACGGCGGCCTGCTGCCGCCCAGGTCCAAGGCCGCGCTGACGTCCACCGGCCGCCTCCGCCGGGACGTCACCGGCGGCCGGCGGCCCGAGCGGGACCCGCGGCTGAGTCCACCGAACAAGGACAACTGCGACGGCGCGGAGTCGCGCGCCGCACCGTCACACAGTCCCAGGCAATCTCCTGTCGCTAACGGAACCGTGGTATCGATCTCAAAGCTGTCCTCAGGACCCGACCATGATGAGCTGGAGTCCTCAGGCCCCGCTCCTGAATCCGCGCCCCGCCAGCAGCCTGTCTCTCGCCTCCGATCTCCAGCGAGCGTGTACAGCGAGCCTGACCCTGTACCCGGGGCCAAGCACCAGCGGCGGCGGGCGGCCGACAGCGCCTGTCACGCGGGCTGCGTGGGCTGCATCTGCTTCGACGCAGGCGACAACCGCGTCAACGAGCAGCCGCCGCTGGCACTGCTGCACACGTTGTGGGTGCGCGAGCACAACCGGGTGGCGGCGGCGCTCGTGCGGCGGCACCCGCATGCCGGCGACGAGTGGCTCTTCCAGACGGCGCGCAAGGTGACGGTGGCGGAGCTGCAGCACGTCACGTACAACGAGTTCCTGCCGAGCCTGCTGGGGCTTGGCTTCAGCCTGCGACACGGCCTGCTGCCGCTCAGGGAGGGCTTCTCCACCTTCTACGACGACGAAGTCAGCGCCGAGCTGTCCGTCGAGTTCACCACGGCCGCCTTCCGCCACGGCCACTCGCAGGTGCAGAACGACCTGTGGCTCGCTTCGCGCTCCGGCGACGTAGCCGAGCGCTACCTGGTGCCCGAGCTGTTCGCGCCGTCGCTGCTGCTGGCGCCGGAGCGGCTGGCGCGCCTGGCGCGCGGCCTCCTCCGCCAGCCCGCGCAGCGTGTGGACGGCAACTCGGAGCGCGCCGTGTTCGGCGACCTCTTCCGCAGCCAGCAGCCGTCCGGCCTGGACCTGCCGGCCCTGAACGTGCAGCGCGGCCGCGACCACGGCCTCGCCCCGTACGTGGACGCGGTGGCGCTGTGCCTGGGCCTGCGGCTGACCACCTGGTACAGCCTGCGGCAGCTGATCCCGGAGGAGGACGTGACGCGCCTGCGCACGGTCTACAGCAGTCCGCGGGACGTCGACCTCTATATCGGCGGCCTCCTGGAGCGCCACGCGACCGGCGCGCAGGTCGGTCCCACGTTCCAGTGCATCATCGGCGACGCCTTCTTCCGCCTGCGCTTCGGCGACCGGTTTTTCTACGACAACGGCGAGCTGGCGCACAGCTTCTCGCCCGTGCAGCTGCGCGAGGTGCGCCACACGAGCCTGGCGCGGCTGCTGTGTGACACGCTCGGGCCGCTGTTGCCTCACGTGACGCCGCTGGCGTTCAGCCTGCCTTCGGCCGAGACCAATCCGGCAGTCAAGTGTGACTCGCTTGCCGTGCCGGAGGTCGACTTGAGCGTGTTCTGAGCGATGCTTTCGCCTGCCGTACCGGAGGTCGAAATGAGCGTGTTCTGAGCGATGTGTTCGCCTGTCGTGCTGGAGGTCGACATGAGCATGTTCTGAGCGATGTGTTCGCCTGCCGTGCCGGAGGTTGACCTGAGCGTGTTCTGAGCGATGTGTTCGCTTCCGTACCGGAGGTCGACCTGAGCGTGTTCTGAGCGATGTGTTCACCTGCCGTGCCGGAGGGCGACCTGAGCTTGTTCTGAGCGATGTGTTCGCCTGTCGTGCCGGAGGTCGACCTGAGCGTGTTCTGAGCGATGTGTTCACCTGCCATGCCGGAGGTCGACCTGAGCGTATTCTGAGCGATGTGTTCGTTTGCCGTGCCGGAGGGCGATCTGGGCGTGTTCTGAGCGATGCGCAAGGGATTTCCAGCGAGGTGTGAGGTTTTCAAACTGTGAGTGTCACCGTGATGTGACATCGTTGAACTGATCATTTACGCCACGCTGCTTTGGGTATTGGGATTTGTGTGTCGCAAATACCTTTGGACATCAATAGATGTCAATATGGTGGTAATAGATGTTATTTATGCAAGTCTGGATTACAAAAGGCTTGTACGCAAAAATGTGGTTTACGAAATAATACCCCTTTCGGTGACTTTTTGCCAAAACACGCTCAGGCTGAAATCCAGGGAGGTAAAGACCCAACCCCTTTTATGGTTCAAAATCATCTTCCGAGCACAGGACCACCAGTCAGGAAAATAAGTGAATATTTTCATATAAAAAGTCGCCGACCAGGCCTTAGCGTACAGGACTCACCATGGCCGATTATACGAACGTGATATGTGTCTTGATGTGTGATGTGTGCTTGCTTACAATCGCTCATGCGTGTAAGTGACACCTAACACGTGATCCACGATGTCTGTTTAATTGAAATCATTTGAATGTATAAGTGAACGGCCGCCAGAGCAGGCTCCTGGAGCTGGAGTCGGAGTCAGAGCACCTGCGCTCCCAGCTGGATACGCCGCGTGGCCAGCAGCGGGACACGGCCGGCAGCCCGGACGAGCTCCGGACGGTGCTGCGGGACATATTCGCTCGCCTGGGTCTACCGCTGCAGCTCGTGAGTGATAACGGCCCCCAGTTTGCTTCAGAGCAATTCGCCATCTTCACAGCAACCAACCGCATCAGACGCATGAAGCGAGCGAATCCAGACTGCTGTCCCCGGCTGGAATGGCGTATTTGGCGCCCGGCTGTCGTGTTAGCTGGTGGAGGCGACACCACAAGTACTGCCGCAGCAGGCTGACATATAGGGCCCCGGCCAGAGCACAGGGCCCTCTGAGCAAAGGAAAACTACCGAACGCCAAGTAATGATTTCATGTCCCTATATGATCAAGAGAATCCGCATAGGTCATGTCCCTATACGATCAAGAGTATCCGCGTAGGTCAAAAGAAAGGGACCTGACAGGACTGAAAGGTCCTCCGCCAATGAGATCAAAATAGAGAGCCCTAGTTCAAAGGATAGAGCTCCGGGGCATCGCGTGGCTTGCTACCTTACCTTTCATGAGCCCTAGCAACGGCGCAAGGCCCTCCGAGCAAGTGGAAATCATCCAGAATCAATGTGCAGGGCCCCTGAGCAACGAGTGTACCCTGGGATATGGGACCCCGGAAAAAGCGTGTAAAGCTTTTCGCGCGAATAGGAAGAATCTGAGGAGGAAACTCCGATTTATCAAGAGTGCCAAGGCATATAAGCAGGTCAGGGTGTCCATTTGTATTCTTTTGTGAGCCCCCCCCCCCCCCCCATTGTTGAGTTGGGCTCGTTCAATATGGGCTTGGTCCCCCTAGTGTTTTTGGCTTGAATGCTACAAAAAACGTGAAAATGATCATAACACAAATACTATGCTCTTTAATCTTTCCGCATAGAGGCATCTCGTATCACTCTCATAGCTGAAAGTCATGGTTGCTCTCACTTCAAGATAAAAATCGTAACACTTGAGCGGATAAACAATGCAATAAACTTCACATACCTGGCGCAATGGTTTGTGAGGTTAAAGTAAAAAGCTCTGGAACATGGAAAAGGCCTAAATCCATCATGGTTAACCCAGTCCCCGTCTCCCACAACCAAACTCAGTGCCGCTTCCCATGACCGCCATAGGCGAGCGCTATCGGCGCCCTAAGATGGCTTCTAAAGGGGCACCTTTACATGCTGATCAGAAGAGACGCGTGCGTCCAGTGCCTGCTCCCTGGATCCAACCCTGCATGACTTCTGTACTGCTTAAGTTTGAGACTTTTATGACTTATTCGAAGGTTGAAAACACATATTGCGTTTAATCAAAATAAAGTGGGCTAAATTCGGTGAGAAAAAAGTATGGGGGGAGGTAACTTGTCGGGCCTTCGGTTTATCCCCCCCCCCCCCCCCAATAGTTTACAAACATTGACATCCCGAAACAGATAGTGTTCAAACAGCGGCGTAGGGCCCTACGAAAAAAATGCAAAGATATCAGGGACAATGTGGAAGGCTCCTTAGCGATCTGACTGACCCGGTAAGTGTACATATAGGGCCTGGGTGAGGGCCTGTTCAGCGTATAGGGTCTGGACAAGAACGTAAGGCCTTTGGACAGCGTAATGATGCCCAAAGTTTTCCCTGATTCACACGTTTTCAATCCGTGAAGACTTAACTTTGTCTGGGAATGGGCTCTTCATTTTCATTTGCAACTATTTTTGGTCGCCTGTAGCCCAAGGGCATCCGATTTTGTTCTGCTTTGTGTTAAAAAAATGTTTCCGTTCGACCAGCTATGGGGCCCCTCAAAGTCTATGGCCTCCTTCGGAGCAGAAGGCACAAGGGAGACATGGGCCCGTGCCTTCTCCCCCCCCCCCCCCCTCCCCCTCTGTATCTGCCAGCGGCCTGAGCAGCTTAATTAAATGTTCCCTACCAAGAACATAGTCATTCATTCAAATAAGAAGTACGCAACACACGACATGGAGGACCCCCCAACGAAAGAGTGTGCCCGAGCAGGTTAGCAGATAGGGCCCTCCACTCCAGCAAAAAGTACCCAAGATCTAGTGTGGAGGGCCTCCGAAAGTTCGAGTGTACCAGAACAAGTTATCAATGGGCCCCCTACAGGAGCGTAGGGTGCAAAGTTCTAATACCCAATATGCAGGGCCTTAAACAATCCAAAGTGCCCGAGCAGGTTATGCAGGTGGTCGGCCCAAACAAGCGTGAAGGGCCTTCCATTGAGAATGAAAATACCAAAGACCCAATTTGGAGGGGCCAGAACGACCGAGTGTACCCAAGCAAGTTATCGCATGGGCCCCCGACAACAGCGTAGGGCCCTAAGAAAGTGACAGGGAATTAGAAGCACTCTGAACCAATGTAGAGAGTCCATGAGCAAATCGCGAGTATGTCGTAAGGCTAACCGCGACTAACGTGAAGGGCCCCTGAACAATCGAGAATACCCGGCAGGTTAACATATGGGGTCCCCGGCTGTAGCGTACGGAGCCTTTCGGGCGAATGGGAAGAATTTGTGGAAGGCCGCTGATTGACAAGAACACCCCGGCACAGAGGCAGGAAGGGCTCCAGTGACAGCCCAGAGCCCTGCGGGCAATTGCAAAGAAAGTAAATGCACCGCGGAAGGCTCCTTAGCGATCGCACTGACCCAGCCAGTGGGCATATAGGCCCCGGAAACAGCATAGCGCCTCCGGACAGCGTAATAAGCCTTGTGATATCACAATCACGACCATCGCAAAGAGCGAAGTATGGTTTTCTGTACTTGTGGGCCGTTCACTTTCGTTTGCGACTGTTTTTGGCCGCTTGGAGGCCCAGAGAAGTTCAATTTTCTTGCGTTCTGTTTTTAAAAAATACTTCTGTTCGGCCTGCTCCGGGCCCCTTCTAAGTCAATAGGCCTCTTCTGGGCCCAAGGAGGGCCATGACCTCGTAGCCTTCCCTGGATCCGTCCCTAGCTGTGGTAAATGCTTGTCTTTTCGCTCCACTTGCCTTACTCACGCTGTCAGGCGCAGCGGAAATACCGCCGCAGAACTCAGAGGCGATGGAACAATGCCTGAGACTTCCTCTCTATCTCTCTCAAGTACCACATATTTATTCGGCTGAACCGGTAAGCCATCAAAAGCCACCTGTTGCCATGCCTGAGACACTTGCGCTTGAGATATGTTAACACACTGGCTAGGCATATCATGCTAATAATCTTTTAAAGTGATAACATGAACAGACCAATAAAGCGTTGGTGCAAACCCAGGGTAAACGTTCGTGTAGCGTGGTGCCTTGCCACTTCGTCTTTGGACCAAGCCGCAGCGACACGGGAAGATTGCATTGCTGCCCCATCTGCAGGCCAGCTTTTCCGCTCGCCAGCTCGGAGGGGATCCACTGCTTCTTTGACGAAAAGTACCCGCAGTACTCGCTGGTAGCCCTTCTCGTCCTTTTCGACCCGATTGCCGTCGACAGGATATTCTCGCCATCGTTTGTTTCAGTCTGGACATTAGGTGGACGTCGGCTGGAGTGCGGAGGTAGGTCGGCTGGAGAGGGGGGGGGGGGGGGGTACGTCGGCTGAAGTACGGACGAACGTTGGCTGAACGGCGGGCGAAGGTCGGCTAGAGAGCGGGGAACGACGGTTAGAGAGCTCACGAAAGCCGGTCGGCGAGCGGGCGAACGTCACTTGGAGAGCCGGTGAAAGTCGACTGAAGAGCGACGATACGCCAGCTGAAGTGCGGGCGAAAGTCGGGCTGACGGCTTGCCGACGTTTTTGAGAAGCGTGGAGATGCAAATTAATGGTATCATTTCATCTACATGTAGAGCTACCTTCGTATTGAGTCGGCCTACAATCGCCAAGATCATTGAATAAGTCGCAAGATCGCATAAACTGCCTGTTGTCTCAGCCTGAAGTCCGCCATTCAGAACGCTGATAGCAGTGATCACCTCTGCAGCGACCTAATGACCTTCCTCCCCCCACGTAGATAGAAAAACTTCACCCTTGCTTCACGCATTGAGTGAAAAAAAATGCAACCTGAGCGCAAAATAGG